CCTAGGCTTCTGCACGAAAACCCAGCCACACTGTCTCAAACGCAGTGTATAAAGAACCCACCCAGTGGTGGTAGTGGTGCTGGTACACTCTTCCACAAATGGCAAGCAAAAATATAAATCAGGATGATTTCTAGTTTTTTTCTCATATAGTCAGAGAGCTGCTGGTATTGCAGTCAGTTGTAGTAATTTCTCCTTCCTTCTTTCAGATGTCAAGACATTCTTTGGATTGAGAGGAAGCCAGCGATTTGGGGGAAGTGCCATCTTCCTTCCTGGTTTGGGAGATCAGCTGTGGACTCTGTGACTCCAAGGAGAGAACAGGATGAGATGGGGATTCCATAATACTTACCAGTGTGGCATGGATTTAATGTTTGATCAGAAGCGATGCCATGGCATTCACTATGCAGAATAGATGGGTTTCTAGTACTTGTGAGGGACAGCCCATAGTGTTCTGCACAACTCCTACAGCATCTATGTTCGCCATAAAAGGCTGTTATTTGGAAAACATCCACTCGGCGTAGGGAGAGAAATCAAGAAGCAGTGAGACAGATGAAGGGTGAGCATGGCACTTCCTAAAGAAATCCACAAGTCAAGGAAGCAAAGATTTGTGGGATAGCTACATTCAGAGGGCTTTGAAGTGAGCTACGGACATTCGGTTCAAAGGACGAAACTAAACCTAGTCCAAAGTAAAAGAAACCACATATAGTGGAAATGTCAGGAGCCTCAGCAGTTAATTCAACATGGCTTTGCTTCACCCATCTGCCCAGGCTGCACCAAATTATACATTACTGTAGGCATCGCTGATGTTGACATGCTGCAGTATAACTATCTTCAGCCAGGAGACATCAAGTTCCAGCTGCTTCTTCAGACTTTTACAGGGTCATTTGGAAGTCTTTTTTGTGGACTGTGAAAAACACCACTCTTTGTAAATTCCTGATTAGTCTCATCCTTTAAAGAACACTAATATTAATGTTTTTGAAAAGCTACCCCAGTGACATTGCTGCTAAATCTTTCTAGCACACGTACTGAAGATTGCCTTTCAAGATTTAAATAAGGAAAACCAGCATTAGATAAGTCTAATAAACACTTTTATCAAGATAATGTTGCTTTACCAGACAAAGAGAATAAAAAGTTGGGTTGTCAATCTCAGCAGGATTTTCTGTCTGTATTCTAGTTTTGATTCCAAATCAACTCTGAGAAAAAATATCTTGAAATGAAAGTCACTATTTCTCTCTAAAAGGAACTGGTCATTTTTCAAGGCAGAAGGCAAAGAAAGCAGCTGGGAGTAAAGCACCAAGAATGAGAAAGACAACCAGAAACAGAGCCATCTGGGCGATTCCTCAGTCATATACAGGAGAGACAAGCAGAGCAGTACAGATACACACATAAATTCAAACTGACAACGGGTAACACAGCTGTTTTGGAAGAAGATGCTTTTAGAGTGGGTAATTATTGAAAAAACCTTCCTACAGAAGAAATTACATTCTAGCCCACTGTCGATAACCTGAAGCCCGTCTTTCTCATCCATGTTTTTGCAACATTCAGTGCTGTCAGAGGCTTGAGGGGGTGTTGGTTTTACTAATCCCATCAGTTACTGCACTCAGAAATTATTTATTATGGAACTGAATTTGACATGTTAACTGTGCATTGTTATTGAAAAGAATCACAGAAAGAAATCATACTGCTTTTGTGTACATGATCTCTCAAGCGTCAACAACTGCAAATAATACAACTCTCAAATTCTCGAGATTTCTTTTTAGCAAGCGAGGCATTTACAGAATACACCCAATAATGTAAACAGAAGTGGCTTTTTACCTACCCAGCGACCTCTGCCTTAACTTGAACATGGTAGTGTTTTCCAACGCAATCAAAAAAATTTGTTTTTAAATGAACAGAAGCCATTGCTTCTGAATTCTTCCAGGTACCTTTATACTTCCCTCATACTACACAGATTCAGTAATATTCCTAACAGAATTTGTGTCTCCCTTATCTTCTCCTGCCATCTCACTACTGGAATTAGATAATCTCCCAAGGCGTTGTCAAAACTTTCACCTACATCCCCATTTCACTGGCTTCAGTCCAACATTGTAATCTTCATTTAAAGGACTATAACAGGCATCAGTAAAGAAAACAGTCCAATCAGTACATTCTGGAAGACTGTTACGTCTTAAATTTGCCAAATTCCTCCTCTCTGTTTCTGGAAGATTTCATCTGTAACAACCTATAATTCATGCTCTTAAAACGCAACTGTATGCACTATATACAACTTCACTTTAACTAACTGTAATTCTCAAGACTTCCCAAGTGTGAAGACACAGTATAGTTGTAAAGAATATCAACACAAACTGATCTTGCCATTATTTAGATAAATAAAAAAAATCTTGAAATTGTCCCGCAATTCTTCTATTTCACTTCTGCCAAAAAAAAGAAAAGTTTCCCACAGGTTGGGCACTAAACAATCACAGGCTTCCAACACTTCTCTCAATTACTTATAGTTTAGTGGTGCTTAACTCAAAACTGCAGCATCACTGTAGCTCTTAGATCTCAACAGCAGTGCAACAAGTAAGGAGAACAGAGATAATATGAATACAACAGGCTTCCCGAGTACAAAGCTCAAGCTATCCTACCCTCCCTAAGGAGCCTTATTATCTCCAGCCAAACACTTACGTCATTTTTTTCATCCTTACCATGACTTTGATCCTGGAACAAATGACCCAACCTGCTACAAAACTCTGCATCTTCTCATCCTGTGACCCACACTTATCCTACATCAATTCTGGTGAATCCATCTATAAAGTCCACTTTTATTATAAAAAGCCAGAAAGAATTCCACCACTTCAGTGCTGATCTCTTGTAGAGATATTTTGAATAGACAGCCTCTCTGAAAAGACTTCCTCATTACACTGTCAGCTTACCGGCCAGACAGACTACTAAGCATCTGTCGGATGTGGACAGTCCAGACGACAGTCTGAACACAGATACACACTGTCAGGCTATTTTAAATTCGGAAAGGAACTCAGGAAAGAAGGCAAAAGGCTTCTTTCCCCTCCAGGAGGTTCATCAACTTTGGTCATATGTCTACTCTACACTCGCACAGATCTATAATGAAACATGCAGAGCACTGAAAGTCTATTTCAAAACGACATGATAAAGTACTTTTAGCTTACACTGAGCAGACTGAGAATACAGTGACAAGCAGTGACTGAGGGCTGTGAGCCAAACATCATTACCCAGGCTCCACAGTGGTTTTGGTTGGCCTTTTCTCAAAGTCTCTCCTAGCGTCTACAAGATCCATGACACCAAATACACTGGCCCACGTCTCTCCCATTTTTAGCAGATCTCATTGTGAATACCTTTGTTATCAGGTGTCCAGTAGTTGCCAGTTAAATCAAGTTAAATTTACACCACAAGCATAGACTAGAAAGCTTTGACAGACAAGACATTAATCTCCAATCCTGCCTTTCACTTATTTTCCCTTTTGATTATGGAGAAGAGCTAACTGTAGAGAATTCAAAACAAGTATTTAGGCAATATTCAGCTACCAGCAAGATTATAACAAACTTCTGAATGAGTTCTGCTACATAACCCCAGAAAACTTTAATCAGTTCTTCCATTCAGTTTGGTAATACTGCTGTAAGAGGAAATGTGGAAGAAAGGACATGCATGTTAACTAGCAAAATTTTCTCATTCTGCACAAATCTGCCATATCCTAAAACATTTAATATGCTTATAGAGAACACAGAGACACAAACTTAAGAGACTTTATACCAACATCAAGCTTAAAAAGCAAAACAAAGGCTACTTTTCAAGTGCTTTTCAGAGGAAACTTCTACAAAGAGAGTCTGCTTAAGATAATTTACATTAATACATAACTTAAAATGTTGTATTACTTCACTAAAATAAAACAAGTATGTATTTTATATGTATGTATAAAGTGATTTCATACATACATAGATAATTGTGTCTATTATGTATATATTACATACGGCACACGACCCTCACAAACTGAACTACTGTATTGTGAACCTCAGTTCACATTTTAAGCCGTAGGTTCACATTACTGCAGACACTACGTGCACGGCTGAAGTAGAACAAGTATATGCATTCACTGTAACGCATCTTGCACATTCGGAAAGAATTGGAGCCTGACTCCAACATGTCTTTGTACTCGGTGTCAAACGCAACTGTTACATGTAACCAGAAGAAAAAAGCCAGCTAAACAGAGCAGGGGTGTGAGGGCAAACCACCAGCTGACAGCTGTGAGAGCAGAGAACCTTGAACGGGTCAGTCTGCAAGCACTCACAGTGGCAACAACCCACCATCCAGCACTGAGTAAATCTGAACGGGCTGACACAGAACTGGGCATTCACGACCCCAGCTGGGGCTAAGCTACCTCAGCCGATGCGGAGATCGAAATCCACAGGCTTTCCAGACAGAAAACCAGTGCGGGGCCATCAGCACCACCACTACAGCCTACAGCAGGGCAGGTGAGGCAGCTCTCTTCAGAGCTCCTCCCTGTCAAATTTCATTTGTTTTTACACTCAATTACGTGCAGCAATAGCCAACGTATGCATCTTCATTTCTACTGGAACTGTATTTTTGTTCATCATAGCAACTGTCCAGTGACTTGATTAATACTTTGCTTTACCTTTTAAATACAAAATAAGAACGGGGGGGGGGGGAGA